ACATGTCTCGGGACTCGGCCCCACGTCTTTGAGTTCGGCCGGCCACGGATTCCTCGGGCCACGCTGCGGCCAGAGGCTCCCGGGCGTCTCGCAGACCGAGCCCGCTTGGCTTTCGGAGGGGTGTTTTCTGCTGTGCCAGCGAGGTCCCCAGCACGGTGTTGGGGGAACAGTGTGACTTTGAAAAGCACCAAGAGCCGCCAACGTGGGCCCGGCCTATGGGTTTCACTTCTCGTATCCTGTGGGGGGGGAAGCAAGGAGCCGCCGTGGCTCTGGAGACACTTCCAATGACCCAAACCCCACCCACGTCACATTCGTACGTCCACATCTCCCCACGGCCTCCGAACTATCCCAGAACAACACAACAGAAATAAAAGAAAGAAAGAAAAAGGCGGCCGGGCACCGTGGCTCACGCCTGTCACGCCAGCACTTTGGGAGGCTGAGGTGGGCAGATCCTCTGAGATCAGGCGTTCAAGACCAGCCCGGCCCACACGGCGAAACGGCGTCTCTGCTAAAAAAAATACAAAAATCAGGCAGGTTGGGTGGCGGGCGCCTGCAGTCCCGTCTACGCAGGAGGCAGAGGGACCGAGGGTTCCTTGCACCCGGGAGGCGGAGGTTACAGGGCAGAGCCGGCGTCGGACCCTGATTCTCCGGCCTCGGTGACCCCGCAAGACCGACAGAAAGAAAGAGGGAAAGAGAGAAAGACACGGAGAGATGTAGAGAAAGATAAAGAAGGAAAAATAGAAACAGAAAGAAACAAAGAGAAAGAAGAGAGAAAAAGCAAGCAAGGAAGGGAGAGGCAGAGAGAAAAAAGAAAAAGAAAGAAGAGGGAGCGAGGAAGACGGGAAGAAACAGAGAGAGAGAGAGAGAGAAAGAGGCAGGAAGGAAGGAAGAGAGAGACACAGACAGCGGTCGGCCTTCGTGCCGGGACCTGCTCACAACCCAGGCTGAAGATCCCATTTCCCTCCGTCCCGGAGAGTTTCAGGAAGACGCAGCCGGCACCCCTGCACCCCACGCTCCTTCGGGGACCCCCCCTCCGCCGTCCGCCGTCCAGAAAGTCGCCCCACTTCTGTCCCGGGAGAAACGCTGAAGACCTCCGGGCCGAACAGCAACCAGCGCCCCCGGCTCACGGTTCTCGGGGTTGCCTGTGTTTCGGGGTCCCGTTTGCGGGGGTGCAGCCTGCCTCTCCGTCCGTATGAAATCAAACTGAAGCAAGAGGCTCTCCCTGGCCTGGAGACTCAGCCGTTCCAGCAGAGTTGACAGTCAACTACCATTTTTTTTTTTTTCAAGACGGAGTCTCGCTGTATGTCCAGGCTGGGGTGTCCTGGTCCCATCTCGGCTCACCCCAACCTCCACCTCCCAGGTTCAAGCATTTCTCCTGCCTCAGCCTCCCAGGAGCTGGGATTTTAGGCGCCCGCCACCACACCCTGCTGATTTTTCCATTTTTAGTAGAGACGGGGTTTCGGCATCGTGGCCAGGCCGGTCTTGAACTCCTGACCTCGTGATCCGCCTGCCTCGACCTCCCAAAGTGGTGGGATCACAGACATGAGCCACACGGCCCGGCCCGGTAAGTCTATTCCAAAAGTTGAGATTCAGACCAGGTGCCGTGGCTCACACCTGTCATCCCGGCACTTAGGGAGGCCGGGGCGGGCGGATCACCTGAGGTCGGGAGTTTGAGACCAGCCTGGCCAACACGGTGAACTATTGTCTCTATAAAAATATAAAATAATAATAATTATTATTATCCGGCTGTGGTGGTAGGAACTTGTAATCCCAGCTACCCGGAGTACCTGGGATCACTTGAACCCGCGACGCGGAGGTTGCCGTGAGCTGAGATCGCGCCACTGCACTCCAGCCTGGGCCACCAGAGCCAAACTCCGCCTCCAATAGAAAAAAAAGGTTAAAAAAAAAAAAAGAAAAAAAAAAATTCAGATACGACAGAGACCAGGCCTATGTCTCTCTGCTCACGTGGACTGAGCGTTTTGTCGGGAGGAAATGGTGACAGATGGTTACGTTTCGATGTTTGAAATCCACTCTAAGCCGTTTTCGGGAGAAAGACAATAAATATATAGGGGTGAACAGATCGTACCAAGCACTTTTCCCAAGTGTTACCCACTCTGATGAATGCAGCTACGTCTCAAAGATTCAAAATGCAATTTTTCTTTGAAAAAAAAAAAAAACTTCCACTTAAATATAAAACCCTCTCTTTCTCTCTCTTTTTTTATTTTATTTTTTTTTTATTTTTATTTTTTAACTCCCATGGTTTTTAAAAAGAAAACTGAATCTGGCAAAGACTCGAATGCCCGGGTTAAAAGAAGCAGCAGGTGATGGAAAAACGTTCTTCCTCTGTCTGTGTGTCATCTGACAGCGGCCCTAACTTTTTTAAATTTAAAAAAAAAATGTGGAAGGGGCTTTTGGGTTTGTATAAAGCGTTATCAGCTCACCGCCCAGGAAGGAAGTGTTTTCTCAGGCCGGGCGCGGTGGCTCACGCCTGTGATCCCAGCACTTTGGGAGGCCGAGGCGGGCGGATCACCCGAGGTCGGGAGTTCGAGAGCAGCCTGAACAACATGCTGAAACCCCGTCTCTACTAAACATACAAAAGTCAGCCGGGCATGGTGGCAGGTGCCTGTAGTCCCAGCTCTCTGGGAGGCTGAGGCAGGACAATCGCTTGAACCCGGGAGGTGGAGGTTGCAGTGAACCGAGCTGGTCACATTACATTCCAGCCTGGGTGACAGAGCCAGACTCCATCTCAAAAAATAAAACAAAACAAAATACGATAAAATAAAAGCGTTCTCTTACGTGGGATGGAAAAAAGAGTGGTGGTTTTATTTTATTTTATTTTATTTCTTTTCTTTTCTTCCCAGCTCCGTCAGGGAGAAGTATCTGAATCAGAAGCTCGGAAAGAGAACCCTCAAGGCTGAATCCGGGAAGGCGCAGGCATGTTTTGGAAATGACAGAACGTTGGCTGGGAGGAAGAGAAACGTCGTTTCTCTCTGGAAAGGCCTGGTTAACTAACCTAAAACGTGCCGATACATCCTCTTGGAGGTCATGAAGCCCCTTGCGGCGTTCCCAGAAAACCAATCAGAACATGCAACGTGGGCCTCTCACAACCTGGGCGCAGAACCCTGAATGTCTTGGGGCGGGTCATTTCAAGCCAGTGTCCACACCACACCAGCTGGGATGGCAGGTTGCTATTCAAGGTTTATCAAAGCAGGGGGGGCACTCTGGGAGGCCGAGGCGGGCCAGTCACCTGAGGTCGGGAGTTCGAGACCAGCCTGGCCAACAGGGTGAAACCCCCGTCTCTACTAAAAATACAAAAACTTAGCCGGGCGTGGTGGCGGGCGCCTGTCGTCCCGGCGACTCAGGAGGCCGAGGCAGGAGAATCGCTTGAACCCGGGAGGCGGAGGTTGCGGTGAGCCGAGATCGCGCCATTGCACTCCAGCCTGGGCTACGTACGTAGCAAGTCTCTGTGTCAAAAAAAGAAAATCAAACAGAAAGAAAAAAAAAAAAAAAAAAAACTAGGAAAATCTGCACGTATACCTTGGAAACACGGATATCTGCAAAAACCTTCAAAGTCCCTGGATGTCTCCCTGGCTTTTTTACCCTTCTCCCAAGCAGAAACAGGCCATGGACCAAATAACTCACATCCCGGCCACCCCCTGCTGTCTTTTATCCCCTTTGGAAAGACAGCCACCCTTGCACGGCAGCCCGGTCAATGTCCACACCATGATTTCTGCCACGGGGCCCTGAGTGGCCGGGCGGCCAGCGCGTGGAGAAGAGCTCATGCCTTTCCACCTCAGACGCTGATGGGGTCAAGAGTGCAGTGCTATTATTTTTCTCTTTTAAATCTATAATATTTATAATATTGCACTTGATTCCATGTCACTGAAGTTAATGCTGCCCCAGTATTATACCTTAAAACCACGACGCGTCTCAGGCAAGTCCTTTGCGTCTCAATTCTGCAAATCAGCAAAGAAAAAAAAAAAAAAAAAAACCCAAACCGAAATATCCAGTCAACTGGGAGTCAAATACTGGAAAAAGGTGTCAAGTGGCCTCTTCTGTGGCACAAGGGACCCCGACCCGTTCCCGTGCTGTGGGGCCTGCTGTGTGGGAGGAGTTCATGCTCCTGACTCAGGTCCCCGGAAAGTGGGCTCTCCACGTGGGAGGTTCGATTCTCGCTCCCCTCCCGTTCCAAGGCGCGGTTCACGTCCTCAGCCTCAGCCAGAGAACTGTTTCCTTATTGCTGCCTGGGAGGCTGGGGGGCGGTGGAGGGGAACCCAGCCCCTGCGTCCTGGGGTTCCAAAGTCCACATTCAGATCCACGCTGGTTCTGCAGCTCCTTGCACGAGGGAGGGTGTATATGGCAGTGAAGAAAATCCTTGGCAACGAAGAAATGGCGTTTCCATCGGAGACCAGCCCCGGGACCTTTGCACTTTCCTCGACCCTAGGATCTTCCAAACGTGTGTAGTTAGCCGCATGCATGGAGGATATTAGCGGAGGAAGACGCAGCCAGGTGGGGGTCCCCTTCTCCAGGGTCCCAGGACGCACGAGGAGCCTTGGAGAGGGGCCGGGCAGGGCGCACGGCGGGGCACCCCCTCCGCCTTCTGCACCATCTCCGCGAGGGTCTGGCTGGGTCGTGCGTGGACCGTCTCAGGAGACCCCTCCCCAGGTCTCTTGCGGGAGCCCCCGGGGTGCAGGAGCGCGCGGATGTCGGTGCGCTGAGGAGCCCTAGGAGTGCAGGAGCGCGCGGGTAGCGGAGCACTGAGGAGCCCCGGGTTGCAGAGCATGCGGGTGTCGGTGCGCTGAGGAGCCCCCGGGGTGCAGGAGCGCGCGGTGCCGGTGCGCTGAGGAGCCCCCCCGGTTGCAGGAGCGCTGAGGGCCGCCGCGGCTCCGGGCCGTGGGAGGAGCTGGAAGGGGAGGTGGAGTGCAGGACGCGGTGCAGGCGGGGTGCGCGGAGCCCCAGGGTCCGGAGGCGCGCAACGCTGGGGGGCCGGCGCGCGGGGGTCAGAGCCCCAGGGCCTCCGCGTGCTTGCGCGCCTTCAGCCGCAGGTCGGCGATGCTGGAGTTCTTGCTGTTGCTTTTCGCGGCGGCGGCGACCACGGCAGCAGCCGAGGCGGACTCGGCCAGCGACGCGATGGGCAGCCCGAAGGGCGGCGGGGGGAACATCAGGTAGGGCGCGTGCGCCGCCAGGTGCGGGTGCAGGTGCGGGTGCGCGTGGGCCACGCCTTCCAGCTGCAGCTGAGCCTGGACCTGCGGAGCGGACCCGGGCGCGGTGAGGGCGCGCGATGGGGTCTTCGGGACCCTCCCCGTGCCCGCTGGAAAACCCCCAACGCGTCTCTTCTCCCCTGGGGAGCGTCACCCCTCCTCCCACTGTGCAGACCACCCCCAACCAGGCTGTTCCCTTTCCCCCTGGCCCAGAGCTGGCGCTGCCTTCGGGACCAGCCGGGCCAGGACAATCCAAAGCGCATCGGAGTGGGGTTCCCATCCGGGCGCCCACCAGGGAGTTCCAGATGCGCTCAGTTTGCCGGGATTCAGGGCCTGGACTTCAGCTCACCCCACCGCCCCCAAGTAGGGAACACCAGCTCCCCAGGCCTCTCCCGGGGACATCAGGTCCCCAAAACTCTCTTGGGGACAGCAGCTCCCCAAGCCTCTCCCGGGAACACGAGCTCCCCAACCCTTTCCCAGGAACACCAGCTCCGAAAGTGTCTCTACAGGAACACCAGCTCTCCAACCCTCTCCCCGGAGACACCAGGTCCCCAAGCCTGGGGGGGGGGGGGAGACACCAGCTACCCAACCCTCTCCCACAGGAACATCAGGTCCCCAAGCGTCTCAGCAGGGACACCAGCTGCCCCAAGCGTCTCCTGGGGACCCTCTTTCCCCAAGCCTCCTCCACAGAAACCAGGTCCACAAGCCTCTCCCCCAGTGACATCAGGTCCACAAGCGTCTCCCCAGGGACATCAGGTCCCCAAGCGTCTTCCGGGGATGCCAGCTCCCCAAGGCTCCATTGCGCAAAGCCACGCAGGCCTGCAGCCTTCAGCGACCTCATTTCACTGGCTCCTGCGTCCCAGAGACTGTGCAAGAGGTGGGCTCTGTCCCCAGCCTGGAGGCCACGTGCCCAGGACGGGGGAACAGGCGGGATATGGACCCCTGTCCTTTGGGCCGGAGCCCTGGAGACTTGGAGATCTCCCGCTCAGGGTCCATTTCTGAATTGTTCATTCACGATTTACACCTTTATAGCTGCCGCTCCCAGCCGCCACCCCCAGCGCCCTCCAACCTCAGCCAGCAGAGGCAGAGGCCAGACGTCTGGGACCTGAAGTCTTTCCGCAAACAAGCGCCCGAATAAAAACCCCCGACCTGTCCCCTTGGAATAAAACGGTCAAGAAGGGAGCGTACGCGTCCCCCCTGCCAGCCTCCCCCCCACCAACTCCGTTCCACCCAGGCTTGCACTCTGAACCCCAAACTGGAAACTGAGGCAGCCCTGCTGCGTCCAGCCAGGGCGCACGTGGGCACTGCCCTCTCTTCTCCTGCGACCCCGCACCTCCTTCCAGGCAGTTCCCAAATGCCCCCCACCCAATCCCCACGCTGAGCCAGAGCAGAGGGGTGCCCCTGGGAAGCTTGGGGGTCCGCAGCTGACTCCTGACGCCTTGGGCCAGGGAATCCCAGCGATGCTCCCTCCCAGGTCGGCTGGGAACTGAGCACTGTGTCCCCAGCTCAGAGGTGCACAGCCCAGGACGGCGTCCAGGAGCCGGCAGACGCCCCAGACCTTGGGTACTTGGGGGATTGGTGAAAGGGGATTCCCCTTGGGACAGCGGCTCCCCAAGCGTCTTTCTGGGACACCAGGTCCCCAATCCTCTCTCCCGAGAACACCGGGTCCCCAAGGCTCTATCCCATTTGTGATACTCAGGCCCACACATTCCACCTTTCTTAGCCAGGCAGACAGCCAGGAGGAGGCTGCCTGGCTGGGTGGGATTTCTCCCCACTCTGATCTTTGTTAGATTTCTGCTTAAACTTGCGTATGTCCACCTTTCCAAAGCCGGCTCTTGGAATTCACAGCCTGATATATATATATATATATATTTTTTTTTTTTCTTTCTTTCTTTCTTTTTTGAGACAGAGTCTCAGAGTCTCGCTCTGTGGCCCAGGCTGGAGTGCAATGGCGCGATCTCGGCTCACCGCAACCTCCACCTCCCGGATTCTCCTGCCTCAGCCTCCTGAGTAGCTGGGATTACAGTCGCGTGACATCGCCACACGCCCGGCTAATTTTTGTGTTTTTAGTAGAGACGGGGTTTCACCGTGCTGGCCAGGCTGGTCTCGAACTCCTGACCTCAGGAGATCCGCCCGCCTCGGCCTCCCACAGCGCTGGGGTGACAGGCACGGACCACCGCGCCAGGTCCAGCCTGATTTAATACGTGCGAAGGCTCTTTTAAATGCTCCCTTGGAAAAGCCTACCTCCCCCACAGCGCCCACCCAGGCTAGCCGAGAAGTCTCTGGGAGGTCAGGATTTGGGAGCCAGCGCGGGGAGGGGCCGGGAAGCGGAGAAGGAGGAGGCGCCGGGTCCCCGGGGCTGTTCCGAGGAAGAAAAATGAGCTACCTGTTGGAAAGGCATCCTCAAAGTCCCCATGTTCACGTAGGGTGCCACCCGGCAGGCGTCTAGGTGGTTGGCAGTGCCCAGGATGACGCCTGTGGTGAAAGAGAAGAGGTGTGAATGTGGGGGTCCCCCCCAGGAAGGCCCCCCTCCCCAGCTTCAGGCTCCCACCTCCCTCCAAGCCCCGACACCCACCTTTATGCATCTGGTTTTCCTGTTTCCGGCACTTCGCTCTCCGGTTCTGGAACCACACCTTGGTGGAAACGCAGACAGAGTTGCACAAGGGTCTGAGGAACTCAGCGCGGCCCCGTCAGGGACCACCCTAACCCTGCCAGACTCCACGGAGCCCCTCTGCAGCTCGGGGAGTCCGGAGGTAACTGATGCGGGGGCGGAATGCCGGCCCCTGACTGCCCCTCTGTGCCCACCCATGCATAACAGGCTACCTAGAACTGGAAATTGCGTGTGTGTGTGTGTGTGTGTGTGTGTGTCTGTGTCTGTGTGTGTGTCTTATGTTTGTTTGTTTTCAAGAGGAGACGGGGTTTCTCCATGTTGCCCAGCCTGGTCTCGAACTCCCGACCTCGAATGATCTGCCCGCCACGGCCTCCCGAAGTGTGGGCCTGACAGCCTACGGCTGGACACTGTGAAACCCGCTGTGCCCCACGGAAGTCAGTCCTGTGAGTCAACGCCGATGAATTTAAAATGAAAGCGTGTGTTCGGAGACCGTGGACATGCACTCTGCAACTTCGCAGCGTTCCGGGTGGGCACCCCGAACCCCAACCCCTGGAGACCCGGAGGGACACCCCGACTTTCCACCTTCATACTTTACCCAGCTACTGGGCGGGCAGATGCCCTAAGGGCTCCCGACCCCGGCCCCCAAGCCCAGAAGATGCCTTTCCCATCCCCGTGGCCTCCTCGGAAGCCCTGGGAGCTGCAGGGGCTCCATTAATATTACGGGACTCATAAACATCCCGGAGAGGGCACCCCAGGAACAGGAGGCTGTGCGGCAGGAGCCTTGTGCTCCTCTGACGCCTTCTGAGTCTCGGGGGAGGCCTTCGGGAAGTGGGGTGCCGCAGAACAGGGGACCCCGAGGAGCCTGGGGAACATCACGGGCCTCGTGTCAAGACTGGGGTGCAGATGCCACCCCCTGGCCTCCTACAGGCCCCGTCTGCTTCCTCGGTATTCAGAGTCTCGTCCGCCCCAAGGGAAACCAGCTGGGAAAGGCAGGGAGCTTAGGGGCCGCCTGGCAATCTAGAGCCCTGCCGCGCTCCCGCGCCGCCCCCACAGCACCCCCGTGGCAGTGTCCGTCCCTGGATGACTTTTCACAGGTTTTCTGTGGCACTCATGCAGAGACAGACACGGTCGGCCACGGCCCTGAGGGTCCCGGGAGCTCCAGCCTGTTGTGGGCAACAAGCAGCCGCCCCAGTGACCCTGCGAAGCAAACCTCAGAAGACCCTGGCAGTTTGGAATGCAAAACAGGCTGGTCTCGAACCCGGGACCCAGCCCCCCTCGGACCTTTCCAAATGCCATTTTCGGTTCCTGACTGGGTCCCCCGGGGACACGGGGCAACCTGGAAAAGTTTATCGTCTTCCCCAGCAAAGTCATCCTCACTACCCACCCCCGAAAAAAAAAAAAAAAAAAAAAAAAGCCCCCAGCCTGGGGCTCACTATTGAAATTCACCCATAATTGCCCTGTTTCCAAAGCCCGCCGTGAGACCCCCAAAGCGCACTGCCCCGCACCCCCGTGCCCCACGGCAAGCCGGCCACCCAGAAGCCCCTGGAAGGCCATTAAAAAAAAAAAAAAAAAACAGAATCCTCTTGAAATCTGGAAATCCTAGTTCACTCTCTGTGTGAGGGAGGAGAGAAAAAAAAAAAAAAAAAAAGATTATGAAGAATAAAAGTGATGAATGAGGTGCCGCGTGAAGCGCTAATCAATCAGGGCGGGACTGATTCACGATCAATTCCAATTAGGGCTGAATCTGGTCACGGAAGTGTATTACAGTGTTTTAGACACTCATTTCTTCATTAAGGAGCAGTCACGGATCCCTTCCACCCACGCCACTAATGCGATTTCCTTTTGATTTCCATTAGAGACAGTAAATAATGACATTTAATTTAGCGCCGCGCCGTGCACCCGAAGATATGTGTTGTAATGAAATTACGGCCCGCCGCGCGCCGGGCTCTCATAACTTTCCATTATCACGCTGACAGCTGCGCGATATGACTTTCCCGGGCCTCAGTCAAAATAAAAGGTTAATGACGAACAGGGCCGTCTGCGGGCCCGGTTTATTGACGGCAAACTGCCACCGTCCGTGGAAACTCCGTCGGCTCCGAGCGGGCTGCCCGGTGCACCTGGAGACGTCACCGGAGCCCTGTGACATTCTGGGCCTGAACACGTCCCTCCTGGACCCTGACACCTTCTCGAACCCATCGATTTCTCAGGAAGACTTGAACCCTGCCGGCCCATCCTAGACGACGGGACACTTTTCCCCGGGGGTCATGGAGAATGATGCCTTTCATTCCGGTCCCGTATTTGTTTTTATGATTATTTACCACGGGGACACGTCCCCGGGCATCCCGGATCGATACCCTGTGGCTGCCTCTCTGCCAGACGGTGTTGATTGTAGGGGGCTTTTCGGGGTCTCCAGACACGCACCCCACCGTCACCAACTGTTCTGCAAGTCTGCTAAGGTGCCAGCCCGTAATAGAGTCCAGAAAGAAAGAGTGTGGAATTAAATTACAAGTAATTTATTTTTATAGAAACAGTCCATCAACGGCCGGGGGTCTGTGAGACGTCCCGGGCAGACGGACACACCGGGACATGACATTCTCGTCATATCCCCGTTAGCGAAACTTTAATCTTTTCATTAATTTAATTGGGCCCGTCCCATCCATCTTCCGTGAGAGGCCTGGGCGGGCAGGAAAGCCCTTTCTGATCCAGCTCCCTTGCCTGGCCGAGGCCACCCGGACACAGCCGTTTTGGGGGACGGGGCTGTCACTAAGTGGAAGTCTTTATTGAATGCTAAGGATGCTCAGAGAGCCTTTTAAATGCAGCCGCCGGGAAAGACAGAAGGGAGTCAGGGAACCAGGGCCCAAAATGGATTTTTTTAAAGGAAGGATCTCAAAAGAGATGCTGCAGGAAACTCATCCGCATCCTCAGGCCCTAAGTCCCATCGAGGGAAACTTGTGTTTCAGTGGGTTGACCTGAAAATCAGCCCCATACAAATGGAAGGAAATCACAAGTTAAAAAAAAAAAAAAAAAAAAAATATATATATATATATATATATACACACACACACATACATATACACACACATATATATTTTACAAGATCTTTTATGAACAATATATATTTAACTTCACTTATATTTTTTTCATGAAAAGTCTCCTAACACCTGCATGTAACACACGTATGTATAAACATACGTATTTAATTTCATTTATATATATATATATATATAATGGATTTCAGTGAAAGATCTTGTAAAACACTCCCCATCAAACGCGTCTGTGTTCCAAGCAAAATCGAGGGGAAAAGTGCTTTTGAATACGTTGACCTCGTAAATAATTCTACGGGAACCCGCTGGGGCTAAGCCCTTTGAAACTCTGAATGGATCTGTCCCCAGTGGGCAATCTTAATTTCATTTATTTTTGAACGGGTCCCGAGGGTCCGGGGATCCCGACCCTGTCTCTCTCTCTCTCTCTCTCTCTCTCTCTCTCTCTCTCTCTCTCTCTCTCTCTCTCTGTCCTCTCTCCTCGCCCTCTCTGTCCTGTTTAGAACCAGGAGCAGTTGAACTTGCAGGGGGCTAACGTGTCAGGCGGGGGCTGGAAGGAGCCCCTTGCAACCTGCTCTCACACCAGCACCCAGGAAATAAATTCATCCATTTAAGTGGATGTTTGCAATACCGAGGAAGCCTCTGGCCCCCCCCGTCCCTCTGCACAGGCCCCTGCTCCTGGTCCCCATTGCCTGCTCAGATGGGGCACTGTGGATTTCCAGGTCTTTCTGGGAGCCCCCCAGGCCTGGGCTCATGGTCTCCCCTCATCCAGATGCCCAAACTGTCCCTCAGAGCTCCCGGGTGCAGGAGGGAGGAGGCGTTGTGGGGAGCGGAGGAGGCGGAGGCAACAGGAGACCCTATTTCTGACCACCTAGGATCACACTGCAGCCCTCTCCTTTCATCCTGAGCACCCCGAGGAGCCTGTTAGGATTCCTCACGATCCGAAATGCAGGCACCAGGGAACACAGACGGGAATCAGGGGCCAAGATACATGTTTTTAAATGAAAGAGTTTGTAAAACCGTCTGCATCCAAAGCATCTGTATCTTCCTGTCCTAAGCAGGATCGAGGGAAACCTGGCTTGGAAGGGGTTGACCTGAGAAGCAATCCCGAGGCAACTGAAGGGGATCAGGGGCATATATATATATATATATATATATATATATATATATATATATATAATTTACTTTTATTTACTTTTATTTTATATTTACTTTCATTTTTTATATATATATTTATATTTTATATATATATATATTTATATTTATTTTATATTTACTTTTATTTTTTTTTCTGAATGAAAGATCTTGTAAAACGCTCTGCCTCAAACCTATCTGTATCTCCATGTCCCAAGCAAAATCGGGGGAAAGTTGTGTTTGAATGGGCTGACCCAATCATCAACCCTATGGGAACCCAAGGGAATCAGCGGTCAAAATATATAAACATTTATATAAACAAATATATATTTACACCAACAAATATATAAATATATATAATATATATACAAATAAATACATATACACATGCATATTTGTATAAAGAAATGTATATACAAATATGCATTTCGTATAAATAGATATACAAATATATAGAAACAAATACATATATACTTGTTTGCCCTTATATATATATGTATATGTATATGTTTGTGTTTATATATATATACAGACATATATACAAATATATCTATTTGCCTTTTCATATGTATATACACACACATATACAAATATGTGTTTGCCTTTATATATGTATATCTACAAATGAATATATACAAATATGTGTTTGCCTTTATACATCAATATATCTACAAATAAATATATACAATATGTTTACCTATATGGAAAAAATATATCTACAAATAAATATAAACAAATATGTTTGCCTTTATATATAAATATATATTTCATATGCTTTTATATATATATGTTGTATGCCTTTATGTATATAAATATATTTTTTGCCTATATATACATAAGTATGTCATATGCCTTTATATATATAAATATATATATTTTACATGCCTTTATATATATATATAACTGTGTCCTATGCCTTTACATATAAATATATAGTGTGCCTTTGTATATATATAACTATGCAGTATGCTTTTATATATATAAATATATGTTTTATATGCGTTTATAACTATGTTGTATGCCTTTATATATATGTATATATATTTTTATATGGCTTTATATATATATAACTATGTTGTATGCCTATATATGTGTTGTATGACTTTATATATAAATATATATTTTTATATGCTTTATATATATAAATATATATTTTATGACTTTATATGTATATATAACTATGTAGTATGCCTTTATATATATAAATATATATTTTTATGACTTTATATGTATACATAACTATGTACTATGCCTTTATATATATAAATATATATTTTTCTGACTTTATATGTATACATAACTATGTAGTATGCCTTTATATATATATAAATATATATTTTTACATGCCTTTATATATATATAACTATGCAGTATGCCTTTATATATGTAAATATACATACAAAGGCAACCTTATATATACATAAACACATACACACACATAAAGGCAAACCCATGCATCCGCTCATCCAAATATATAACATACACATATCTACGTGTATACACGTATTTGTCTGAGCTTCGTGCAAACCAACCCGGGGAAGCCCCGCCACAGGCCGCAGGCGTCTCCCGGAGGCCGCGCGCCCCGCGCGCCCCGCGCGCCCCGTGCGCCCCGGGTCCGCGCGCTCCGGGCAGGGCGCAGGTGGCGCTGGCGGCGCGCCCCGCGGGCCCCGCGTTCCTACCTGCACGCGCGCCTCCGAGAGCCCCAGGCGCTGGCTGAGCTCCTCCCGCATGAAGGCGTCCGGGTAGTGCGTCTCGTCGAACAGGCGCTCCAGCTCGTTGAGCTGCTCCAGGGTGAAGTTGGTGCGGCTGCGCCTCTGCTTCAGCTTGGCCTGCCCGTCCTCGTCCTCCGACTTCACGTCCTCGCGTTTGTCTTTGCATTCGTAAATCCCTGCGTGGCGGCGGGGGGCGCGGGGCTGAGCCGGGGGGCGCCTCTCCAAAGACTCCCGGGGTCCCCTCCGCGCGCGCCCGCCTCCCCCCGGCTCCGCGAGCGGGTGCAGCGCGCAGACAACCCGGCACCGTGCGCGCATCACGGGGGGAGGGGGGGGTATTTTTGCGCAACGCGGCCACCCCTTCCCGTGTCCCGCGGTGGAGACGGGGTACCCCGAAAACGCAATGCGCCTTTACGCAGGGACCGCGTACACCCCACGCGGAAAAAGCGAGCAGAACACTCGCTTTTTTTGGATAACAACCTTGTTTTCTTGGCCTCCTCACCAAATCGTTTCCTCAATTATCCACTTCTAGTGTGTTGACGTAACCTAACCTTGTTATTATGATGATTATTCTAAAGGAGACTGGGGTGTCAAATCATACTTTGAAAGGAAATTATTATTATTATTATTATATTATTATTTTCAGGAAGAGTTGCCAACTGTGGGGTGCCTGGGAATGGGAAGGGCAGGTTGGGGATTCTAGGTCCGCGGAGAGACGCTATCCCCTGTTACAGCGCAGCTGGGCTTGGGGGTGGGGGTCCCTCCGGGGTCTGGCCAGCAAGAATCCCCTCCTCACAGAACCTGTTTCTGACCAGAACAGCTGAACCCCCTATGAGGAACGCAGCAGCGCAGCCTGGGAGTCGAACCGCGTTCGGAGAAATCTGTCTTTCCCAGATAACCCGCGGTCAGGCGCGCAGCCACCCCACCAGGGTGCCAGAAACGGCACTCCGTCCCCTCCCACAAACGGTGACCTGGCTTTATTTGCTGCGGGACAGGGAAGGGCATGGAAAGTCCGCTCTCAGGCGCTTCCAGCTGAAAAGCGTTTTGTCCCTCATGTAAGACAACCAGAGCCTGACTACGCCCTTCTTCCACGCAGGGCTGCTGACAGCGGCTCCTCCAACGCCCCTCGGTTCCCATCTCAGGCCTGCTGGGCACAGAGGAGGAGCCCCGCGCGGCCTAGGCTGGTGTCAAGGGTAAGACGCTGACATTTGGAAGTTTAGCCTTGAAAGAGTCTCAGAGGCCCCGGGTCACCCAGAAACTTGCAAAGCTGTCAAATCCAAGCTGTGTAAAAGGAACGCGGTACAGGCTAGAGTCGCCTTCTCTCTCTGTTCCTTCCACCACCCACCCCAGGGCCTCCCGCGATCTGGATTCAGCGCCGGCCTCTTATTCCAGCACGGACTTCAGAGCCCCTCTGGCCTCCTAAAACGCACGTGCTTCCAAGAACACGGCGTTCCTTCCCGACCCTGAATCCTTTTCCTGGAGCTGCCCCTGGAGGTGCCTCCTTCATTTCTCTTCAGTGTGAACCCCGGAGATGGAGGCCAGCTGGTAAACTGGGCTTCAGAGGCTGCAAGCAGCCGCCTGCGGGCTTTGCAAAAGCCACGGGTGCCAGGGAGTCCTCACCCGACTCTCTAACCTCCATTGACCTCCAGCATGGGACACAGCGCTGGTGGGGTCTGTCCCTGTGCAGTCAAGGGGAAAGCGCAGCGGGGGACTCACCCTCTGTCCTCTCCTGGATCCCCGAATTCTTATTTTACGCTTTCAAACGGCTTGCTTGGAGTAGACTTTGCTGTGGTACCATGGCCGCACCCCGGGGACCCGCGGCCAGAGGGAAGAAGAGAGAGGCCAGAGGGAGAAAATCCGCGCCTCCGGGAAGGACAGCGGAAAAAGGAACCCCACAGAACGGGCCGCTGCGCCCTGCGAACCGTCTGACATTCCTTCCACGAATGCCCTAAAAGTCTGGGGCTCAGCCTCGCGTCTAGGGAAGGCGACTGTCTTTGTACGAGCCGCAGGGCTGGGTGCGCGCCTGCGGAGGAACGGCGGGCTGAGCCGGGCCGGCTCTGCGCGCCTGGACTCCCGGCCACCGAGCACTGGTTTAGAATTGGGAACCAGCCTTTTGCCTTCACAAGCTCAAGTCTGGTCACCCGTCTCCCCGCGCAAGGCCACCCATGACCCCAGAACTCTGCCACCCACACCCAACATGCAGGCCCCGGAAAAGCTGGTAGCCCCAGAGTCTCAGGAAGAAGGACCTTCGCGGAATGCGCCCTGCGCTCCCGCCTCTGGAAAGCCATCCACGGAGATGAGCTTCTCTCTCTCTCTTTGTAATGAGAAATCATAGCTGTTCCTGGTTCCTCTGCAGTGGAGCCCCTGACCCCTTTTCGCTCGTTTCATTCTGAAGCTTTTCAGAGACCAGTTGGTCTGTTTGGAGGGAGAGGTGGGGTCGACACGGCCTCTCGCACCCCGATTTCCCCCACGGGGAGATCTCCCAAGGAGGGTTCTGGAACAGCAGCTGGAGCGCAGCCCCCAGGGCCGGCCTGCCTGCCTGCAAACCCGGCTCCTGCAACCGGCCTGGAAGCCCCCAGCTTCCCGGGGCGCCCCTCACGCCCCATCCAGATCCCGGCCACCTGCGGGCACCGGACTGGTTTTGATTTAGACAACAGCTTTCACCGACATCCAGTCTCGAGGATCAAAGGGGGGAAAAAATAATAATAATAAATTGTTTCTTAAAGGAAACGGAAGCAGGCAGGTCGGGGCCTACTTCGTCTGTTTGCCCCACGCAGCGTGGAGGGTAACCCGGTGTGTCGGGTGGAGAGAGCTCCCCTTTCCGCGTGGGTGACCTGAGATCCAGGGCGGACACGCGGAGACGGAGGCAGAAACCCACACCCTAAGGCGCCAGGCCCCGGCGCGCCGCGACTCACGCGTTTCATCCCAGCACTTTGCGAGGCCGAGGCGGACGGATCCTCTGAGGTCAGGGGTTCGAGACCAGCCTGGCCAACACGGTGAAACGCCGTCTCTACTAAAAACGCAGAAAAAATAGCCGGGTGTGCCCGGTGGGTGCCTGCAATCCCAGCTCCTCGGGAGGCTGAGGCAGGAGAATCGCTTGAACCCGGGAGAGGGAGGTTGCGGTGAGCCGAGATCGCGCCACTGCACTCCAGCCTGGGCCACAGAGAGAGACTCTGTCTCAAAAATACGTGTTTATAGCAGGCCCGACGGCCACCAGGATCCTCGGCAGCCCCGTGTCTGCGCCCACGCGAGGGGGTTCGGGTCTGGGGGCAGCGCGCAGCCCCAGCTCCGATCCTCCTTGCACCCCGGACTGCCATCGCAGAGACCTCCCAGCTTCTCCAACGGCCTCCACTCCTGCCTTCGTGTCTTTCTTAGGAAAATCCTAGCCTCGGGGCCTTCTCCTCCTAGCCGGAGAGCCGTCCATGTGCGGCCGACTCCGTGGGGCCAGGCACCTCCGAACCCCGGGAGGGGACCCCGGGGAAGCCGCGGGGCGCGCGGAGGAGCTTACCTTCCGCCACGCGCGCGCTGCCAAATTCCTTGAGCTTCTCCTTCTCATTGTCTAAGTGCTCCTTGAACAAATGCACGGGGCAGTGGCCGGAGCCCTCCGTCAGGTCCTGGAGGCTGGAATCCGACGTCCCCAGCTCCCGCGAGCGGGCGGCCAGGCCGCTCTCCAAAACTTCCCGGTAGGTGATGGAATCCTTCTTCCCGCCGCCGCCGCCGCCGCCGCCTCCCGCGTTCCCGTCCTTGGTTTTCTGGTCGAAAGATTTGGATACAAAAGCCGTGAGCTCTTCCATGGCTGAGGCCGGCGGGGAGGAACGTGCGCGGCGAGGACTCCAGGAAGCTTTGGAGGCGCGGGGGCCGGGGGGTGCGCGCGTCTCCCCGCGCGGAGGAGGGAGGAAGGCGGCCCGTGCGCGCGCGGGTGGATCTCCAGCGCTGTTATTTACGCCTTTGCATTGGAAATCTCGCTATTTATACGCGGCGACCTCGCCCAGCCCCCCGCGCGCCGCCTGTCTCGAGCAATTACGGGAGTCTCGGCTCCGCGCGCAGGGACTCGGTCTCTCCCCCACCCACCCCAAGGCCGGCAATTGGGCTTCTTGTCATTTCATCACCGTTTGGCGTCGCGCAAAGAGGTGCAAAGAGGTAAAGATCCCGTTTTTCTTTCTTTTTTTCTTTCTTTTTTTTTTTTTTTTTTTTTGGCAGAGAGCGCGCGCGCACCACCAGCGCCCCCCAAGACCGGTACCCGCGTTTGTGTTCCCTCCGTGCCTGCCGCGCAAAAGGAAACTGGACCAGGACTTCGCGGGGCTGGAGAGAGGAGGGTCCCAGCCGTTCCGCGCCCCCCTCTCTTCCAGGGGAGGAGCGCACAGCCCGGTGCCTGGACCGTTCCAAGAACCGCCCCCCCTTTCCCAAGGCGGAGATGGAGAGGGGACCGGGGCGCGCCGGGGACCCGCGATTTGGGAAGTTGGAGGCTGCGCGCGTTTGGATGGAGGGATGGAGACGCCGGCTGAGGCCCCTCGGGGCCGGATGGAGGAGCAGGGCGCGCGCGGGTGAGATGGAAAGCGCCTGAAGGACCCCCCAAAGTCAGAATAAGGGGCCCGGTGTCCCTAAACCTGGACGGGAGCGCCTGGGCGGAGGCTGAGGATCCCCGCGGCCGCCTCCTGGGTCCCCAGCGCCCGCAGAAAGGAGCTCGGGTCCCCGGGAGGACCGGTTCGTGCAGACCGGGTCCTTTCTGCACGCGCCAGACCCGGGTTCGAGGCCGCCGCCCCCCACTTAGCGCCGCGCGGACACCCTGGCGTCTAGGGTGTTCGTTGGGGAGAGCATGACATGGAGAGATACACTTTGTGTTTTTGGTTTTCCTCGCGGGTGACCCTGCTCGCCCCCTCCCGCCTCTCGCCGTGGAAGGCGCTTTCGGGGAAGCCGGGGTTCGCGTCCGGCAGCTGGAATTCCGTTTCCACGTCCTGGAAACCAAATAAAGTTGAGAGGTTTTTTTTTTTTTTTTTCCTGTAAAATGTCCTCATCCTCCTCCCTCCCCCATCGCGTTTGGGACCGGGGAGGGTCCCGGGGAAGGTGTCACTTTTTTTGGGGGGTGGGGAGAAGCCGCTTTGCGGGTTTCGGGGCAGAGACGTCCCTGGGAGGCGCCCAGCGTTGGGCCCTGATCTCCTGCAGCGGAAAGAAAGGGAGACGTTTTTCCCGACCCCAGGGCGCAGGGAAGGGGTTCCCAGCAGCGCCCGGTCAGGTTCAGGTGGGGGTGCCCCGTTAACGGGGGGGGAGGGCGTGCGCTGCAGTGGGGCGGGAGCTGAGGCGCTGGGGACCTGGCTGCCCTTCCTCCTCCCTGCCTCCCTCCCTCCCTTCCCTTCTCCCCCCTCCCCCGTTCCTGCCTTTATTCCCCAGCCTTCCCTCCCTGACCCCCATTCCCTCCCTGTGCCTTCCCCCCCAGCCCCCGGCCTGCAGCCGGCCCCCCTCTCCCTCCCCCGTCCCTTCCACTGGTCCCTGTCCCTCCTCGTCCCTCGTTCCCCGCCTGTCCCCTCCGTCTCTCTCCCTTCGTCTCTTCCTCAGTCTGTGCCTTTACCTCCCCCGTGTCTGCCTGTCCCTTCCCTCCCGCTCCTCCTCCCGGGACCCCGGGCCTGGCAGCTGCCGCCTCTCCCCGCGTCCCGCGGCCCGGCCGTCCCGCCCCAAGTGCGCACCGGGATGATCCCCGGGATTTGGAGGCCGCCGGGTCCAGGGCGCACTTCCAAAGCGGGGGCGAAGGAGCCCCCGAAGTCCCCCGCGACAAGCGGGTCTTTGTCACCACGACCTCCCATCAAAGCCGGGGCCGCCGGATACCGGCATATCACAGGGACTGACAAATCGTCGCATGTATTATGCAGAGGCGCCCCGGGGGTCAGCGTCCTCCACGAGAGGCCACGGGAGAGGCCGGGACGGTGGGCAGGGGCGACGGGGACGGGGACAGGTGGCAGAGCCCCCGCTCCGCCTCGACCTCCCAGCACCCCACGGCGCGTCGTCCCCTGCAGGGCCTGGGGACCCAGGGCGAGGCCTGCGGGAGTGCACGGGAGCTGGACGGGAGGGACGGTGCCTTGGGGCCTGTGTCAGAGACAGACAGAGACACACAGGGAGAGACAGAGACATGCAGAGAAAGAGAGAGACCGCAGAGACACAGAGAAGGAGAGAGACAGCAGAGACACAGAGACACAGAGGAGAGAGAGAGACAGCAGAGACACAGAGAGACAGAGAGAAGGAGAGAGACAGCAGAGACACACACAGAGACACAGAGGAGAGACAGAGACAGTAGAGACACAGACACACAGACAGAGAGAAGGAGAGACACAGCAGAGACAGAGAGGAGAGAAACACACAGAGACAGACAGGGAGACACAGAGACATGCAGAGAAAGAGACAGCAGAGACACAGAGAAAGAGAGAGATAGCAGAGACACACACACAAAGACACAGAGGAGAGAGAGAGACAGCAGAGACACAGACACAGAGACAGAGAGGAGAGAGACAGACAGAGACAGGCAGAGAGAGACAGAGACATGCAGAGAAAGAGAGAGACAGCAAGACACAGAGACAGAGACAGAAAGAAGGAGAGAGACAGAGACAGCAGAGACACAGACAGAGAGACAGAGAGAAGGAGAGAGACAGAGACAGCAGAGACACAGACACAGAGAAGGAGAGACAGAGACAGCAGAGACACAGACACAGAGACAGAAGGAGAGACAGAGACAGCAGAGACACAGACACAGAGAAAAGCCAAAGAGGGAAAGACACAGAGACAGCAGAGAGTGAGACATGCAGAGAAGAGTCTCTGGGTTACAGCCACGATCCGGGATCCTCAGAGCCCAGACAACTCTCCTGCTCCTGAAGGCGTCCCCAAGCCTCCTCCGCCTGCTGCGAACCTGGCTCCCCGGGGACCTCGCGGGGAGCCCCTCACAGCTGCCGTCTGGCGGCTTCCGAAAACCCCTCCCTGCCCCCAGCTCAGCTGCCTCCTGCGCCTCCCAGGACCAGGCCTTCCCGGGGGTCCGGTGGGGCCAGGCCTTCCCAACCCGGGAGGTCCCTCAGCAGGGGACGGCGGTGACAGGCTGCGGGCTGCAGCCCCGGGACCCCCTGCCCCAGGAAACTGCGCCGTGCGGGGGTCCCTCCCAACCGCCGGGAAGCCAGACAGGAGCCGTGTGTGTGCCCGACGCCCCAGAACACCCCCAGAGAGAACCGCCGCCCCTCCCTCCGCGGGAGCCCCCGCTTCCATGCCCACGGAGGACGCATGGCTTTGAAAGAGTTCGCGTCCACCACGGAGCCGTTTCTCGGTGTGTCACAGATGCTGCGTTTCCTGGAGAGACGGAGAGAAAGAGAGACAGGGACAGAGAGACACACAGACACAGAAAAAGAGAGAGAGACAGTGGAGACAGAGACACAGAGACACACAGATGAGACAGAGACAGGGAACCAGAGACAGACAGACGGAGAGACGGAGAGAAAGAGAGACAGGGACAGACAGACACAGAGACACAGAGACACAAAGAAAGAGAGAGAGACAGTGGAGACAGAGACACAGAGACACACAGATGAGACAGAGACAGGGAACCAGAGACAGATAGACGGAGAGACGGAGAGAAAGAGAGACAGGGACAGAGAGACAGAGAGACACAGAGAGAGAGAGAGAGACAGTGGAGACAGAGACACAGAGACACACAGATCAGACAGAGACAGGGAACCAGAGACAGACAGACGGAGAGACGGAGAGAAAGAGAGACACAGAGACACAGAGAAAGAGAGAGAGACAGTGGAGACAGAGACACAGAGACACACAGATCAGACAGAGACAGAAGGAGAGAGACAGAGAGATCTGGGGAAGGGTGTCTGGGTCCAAGCAGCTTTCTGGGGACCTCAGAACCGGGATCACTTTCTCCTGCGTCTGGAGGCCTCCCCGTGCCCGTCCCTCGTCCTGCGGGGACTGCGGGTGCCAGAAACACGTGCCGTGTGTGTGTGTGTGTGTGTGTGTGTGTGTGTGTGTGTGACTGATCCTTTGTGACCCCAGGCGAGAACTTTCCGGCACCACCCACCGTTTCCTTTGCAGATCGAGCCGGCTGGGCAGGACTGCAGGGCGCAAGGCCGCAGCGTGGGTGGGTTTTGTGAAACTCGGCGTGGACATTTCGGGGGACGCTGCGGCAGGCCGAGGCTCTGCGCCTCGCCTGTCCCGGGCTGTCTAAGGGGTTGGAGGTTTCCTGGGTGTCTCCCCGGAGACACAGAGAAGGGAGCCGCGCCCGGGCCGGGGAGACGCGCCTTTCGCGCCTCACGGTGTCTGGTTAGAACGAAGACGCGTCCCCGGGGGACACGCGTGTTTCCACGTGTGCAAAGAGAAAGTCCGTGAGGACACAGAACAGCCGCGAATCACAGCGCACAGGGGACGGCGGGCCTGGGCAGGGAGCGGGGACGAGAAAGGAAAACAGTGAGAAAATAAAGGATGGAAGGAAGGGAAGCAGCCGGGAGTGGAGGGAGGGAGGGCGGGAAGCCAAAGACAAGAAATAAAAAGAACGAGGAGGAAGCGGGAGGAAGGAAGAAAGAAAAAGAGGAAAAATAAATAAAGCAAAGCTGTCGAGACGGGAAAACGTGCCCCGCCCTCCGCCCCTCCCCGAGGCCTCCCGGGCTGCGGGTTCGAGTCCCGGCGCCGCCCCGACCGCGCGCTCCCGGCTCGTGCAAACGCGGCCCGGTTCCCGACGTCCCACCCGCCCCCACGCGCGTCTCCACCGTCCCGTTTCCGTTTCCACCCGAAACGGGCGCCGAAACGAAAGAAAACGAAACGG